TTGTAGTATTAGATTTTTGGTTTGTACTGCTTTAAGCAGAGCCTTTGCATATCCTGGTTTCATGCTTATATATCCAGCTGTAAGTGAGGAAGAATTAGGCCTGTAATCATAAACAATGTGGGAAAAGAATTAGTAGAGATATTTGAGGTTGGTGGTACTTAAGGGCTCTAAGAGTCAGAGTTAGTATTTTTTGTTAAAGGCTGATGTCTATGTACATTTTGCTTTCAGGCAAATACACAACTTTTTTTCTGATAAAGGTTATCAAATTTCAAGTAAAAACAAGCTAAAAACAATTCCTCCTGTTTTATTCTAATTAGATAAATCAGTTAGATATTTTAAGAGGAACTGGGCAGGTAGAGAAGAAACGCAGAAAGTTATCTCTGCTGGTTTAATGAGGAAGGAAAGTAATAAATTGGGAAGAGTATGATTGCAGTATACCATGAAATCCTAGTCTCTTCTGAGCTCAGGATCGTTGACGTGTACTATAATAATGAATTCTCATGCTCATCTTGTGTACATGCTTTGTGGTTGCAGTGAGGGTACAGTGACCAGTGCTGGTACAGAACAAGTGATGAGAATGCTGTCCAAATCAGGAGAGAGTTGGGGACTGCCACTGCTGGTGGCACTGCGGTCTTGCAGTAGTTTACCTAGCTCTGACAACTACAGCCTGAGCTAAAAGCATTCCAGCCTGGGTGTGTGACTTTCAATGTGAGAGAAAGAAAATTTGCTTAAAATACAGAAACCTATCTTTTAATCTGCTAACATTACACAAAATGAATCCCATTCACACCAGCTTTGGTGACAAATCTTATGTATTTTAAAAAAAGTGAATACCTCTATAAAAAACCACACTTTGTTGAGGAATCTACTCTTTATTGAGTCATACTGAAGCAAGTACTACTCTGCAAAAATAAAAGAATGCCTCTTCTGGAACAGCTTTGTGCATGAAGAGATGGGGAGGAGGTTTGCAGGTATACCATTAATTCAAGAGTGCGTTGTAACTCTTCCTATATGGCTCAGGTCTGTGGTCACTTGTGGGATTACGCCCTTTATGTTATTTGAACCATACCATGTAAATGTTGTTGGAGAAATATAGTAATATTTGAAAACAATTTTTCTTCATCATGGTATGTAATGTATGGTATGCTTCTATTTTTCTTAATCTCTTTACCTTTTTTTTTTTTTTTTTTTTTTAATGAAAGCATTTGCAAGAAAATAGCATTTTCTGTTTGTCAGTTAGCGTAGTTCAGATGCCTATATTTAACCTGGGTTATAAAATCATTTGACACATCAAGGCAGTGTCATTTTAAGTAGTTATGATCTAACCAAGGATTATACCTTCACATGATGACTAATTTGGAGCAACTGATAAACTCAGAAAACACAAAACACCTGTATCCATGACCATTGATAATAAAAAATGACAGTAGAAAACCAGAAATTAAACTAGAATAAAAATGCCAAGAAAAATGTGCATTTAAAACTTTGTATCAATGTGCAAAATGTGCGTCAACTTTGATTAGAAAAGAATTTTACTATTTTTTTCTTTGAAAAACGATCGCAGATTCAAAAGAAAAGCAGGAAAGATGCTATACTAAGTCCCCAACAGTATGTGAAGTGCTGTAGCTATGTTTGAGTGTGACTTCCAGATCTATTCTGAAAACTTCATTATCTGAAGATATGCATATAGTTAATATCTCTGGTAGTGCTCAGTGAGTCCTCTCACAGTAGTCTTGGTGGGAATGAGTCTTCTGACATGTCATAGATTTATATCTTCGTGGGATCTCACTGATTTAGTTTGTAATGTCCAAACTTTATTTCAGATAGAGCACAATATATACAAAGTGCTACATATACTGGAATTTGCGAATGTAATAGAATTGAAAAGAATAAATATTACAGCAAAAGAACAATTTGGTTTTACGGGTTTTTTTGGTGTATGCATGTTTGAGTGTATGAGCGTTTGAAAAAACATGTCAGTATTTCTTGAAGTAGTATTTCCATTTCAGATGGAATCACTACATTCTTGGGATTTTTTTTAATAAATTAAAAGAATTGAATAGGAATGTGGTGTTTAGTTAAGTGAAAGCCAGTAAACATGTATGATGAGACAGTTGGTACAAACAAGAGTATACATCTAGGCTATCACCTGTGCTTTTGCTTCTTTATGCTACTCAGGTAGCCATTAATCCTCACTCTTTCAGACTTTCCAGTTACTTACTTGTAGTCTATCAGTCCAACATAATTAAAAGGATGGGGAGCTATCATGCATGGGCCGTAAATTATTCCTCTTTGTAGTTATCATCTTAAGGCAGGGATTTCAGTTCATTGAGAAAGCAAAGCTGTTTAAAAGAGCAGTGTTCAAATTGTGTATTCTGCTTGGAAACGTAGGCAAGATAAATTTCTGATTGCTATCCTGACAGAAATTTTCCTTGGTCTATGTGCAGGTTTTTTGTTAGCAGAGTTATGCTGTTAATGAGTTTGAATAGGTGTAGTTGCTTGTTGACATACCTGGTCTATCATAAGCTACAGTGTAAGTTCCGTTATTTTTGCAAATTTGTGTTTTAATACTGAATTGCTGAACTCATGAGGTAGGTGTTCTACAGAAGAGCAAAGTGTGGTTATACCAGCACTGGCATTTAGAATTTTTGTTCATTTGTATTACTAAATTCCTGCTCTCTTCCCTATATATATATATACCCTGAAGTTATAGGAAATCTGACAACTAAAAATCCTTAAAGGAAGACTGAACTCACTGGGAAAACAAAACAAAGAAACAAAAAAACCCTGAATATCAATCAAAGAATTAGAGGAGTTCAGAGTTCATGTTGAATATGTAGTGTGGACACTGTAAAATAATCTAAAATTATCAAAATCTAGGAACACGCTATAATCATTAACCCTCAGAAAAGTGCCTGTAAGAAGTTCTTTAAGTTCTTGAAAGTGTTTGTAGAGGGCTTCAGCAGACCTAGTGATTGTTGTGATGCAGTGTATGTTCATTAACAGCTAGTAGATACTGCAGTTGCATGTAAGTAAGGGTAAGATACCTAGTGCAGTACACAAAGAATAACTTCTAAGGAGCACTTTGCAAACTGAAAAGCTGTAATTAGAGAAACTGCCTTAGCATATAAGTTTCACCAGGATGACCTACTTAGAAGGATCATCATGTACCTAAAGTCAGACTACAGTTTGCAGTCATAAATATTACATCATGTCTTTTTTTTAGGCTGCATTTCTCTTCCAGTAAATGCTTCAGTTCACATTAATAGTTGAATATTGCTATCACATCTGATTTCTCTGAGAAAAATTCAAAATGTATGAAATTAATCTAGAGGAAGAGACTAAAAATAAAGACATTTTCCACTATGGGTGAATTTCTATTGTTAAAAAGCTGGAAAATACCTTTTAGCTTCTAATGTCATGTCTGTGTGATTTTAAGCTTTGTTTTCTTCTATCAGAAGTACGTCATGCCCTTAGTTTTTCTAATGCAGTCTGTAATTCTTATTATTCCTCAAAACAGTATCACTCTTAAAACTGATGTCTAGAATATTCTTCTGGAGACAGTGTCTACAATAGAATGAATAAAGGGCAACTTCTTAAAGCATTACCCTGTTCTTCTCCCATGGAGCTTGAAGTGCAGTTCACAGTGCTTTAGAAAAGGAAATAGGATTTGCTTCAGGAATTTCCAGCAATTTTTACTCCTACATCATGTCTCTGCCTTCTTAGTTGTATTAATGCAGTTTTTCTGAGGTAATGCTGGAAAATAGATCATTAAAATGATCATGATCACCTTTTCTCCAAGATGGAAGGAGGCAGTGTTTTCTTAGGAGCACTGCTACATAAATTTTAGCCTGCTTTCTCTGAGAGGAGAGGTTTCTGCAATCTGTTGCAGTGCCCAGATTTACACACACACTCTCACAGAGACCCTTAGCTTTAGACACATGAGTAATGGTGCAGTTTTGTAATTGATTTTAGCTCTTCTAACTATGGACTGTTGCCAAAGAAGTATCCTGCATTTCTTCCTTCCCTTTGCCTGCACACTGCTGCCATTTCTTTCTCCTGCCCCTAATGATAGTGCAGATGTGTGATGAGCAAATTACCTTGCAGATATGCCTGAAAACTGCGCACAGAAGAAGGGGATGGTTAGCCTTCAGTCTAATAAGCAAACTGCTCTTGACTCATTGTGTCTGCATTTGTGACCTTGGGGCTGCACAAGATAGGAAGATACAACAGGGGAGCAGGGAGGAGAACTGAGACATAATGTCTTGGTGCTTTCATGCAGACAGACTAGCAGGAACTTATACTGGACTTACCCCTTCTGGGGTAAATTACCTGGTGGTAGACAGTTGTTCAAGTCTGTCTCTACTGTTTCTATGGACACAGAGAAAAGGAATGTGTCTGTCCATAATTTAGGTATTGGGAATCTTCAAAGTGTGAAAGTGCCACCATTTTCATCCATACAGCTCCCTGTGCTAAATTTTTTAGGGTGGGACTTCATATTGTTAAGACTCCATGTTGAATGCAATGGTCAGATCCAGTCAGCTTTGAGACACTGATGCAGATGTGAGGAATATTAGCTTCGTACAGGATTTGTGTTAAGCAGCAGGACAGAGGACAAATATTTCATAGTCAGTCATTGAGAGAAAAGTTAGTCTTTGTAGGCCTTTCTTACAAAACAGGGAGTTCACATGCTGAAGATAGAGTCAACATGATGTATGGTGTATGAAATTGATTGGTTTCTTTCAGAATAAAACCTGGTATGCAAGACTAGAGAGTAATAAATTGAATTCTGAAAAAAAAAACTGTAAAGAGAACAACTTTATCTTCAGCATATTTTCCTTGTAACATGGGATATTTGTATGTGTGAAGAAAACACAGGTTTGTATATTGAAAAGCCCTGTACTTTGGTGTCCAGTGTTTAAATGAAGATTCATATGGTACTATATCAATGTGAAGAAACATCTAAAAAGGAGTAAACTTTTTTCTCTTATATTTTGCAGGTTGAATATTACAGCTTCACATGTACTTGAGCTTTTTCTACTAATGTCCAACACACAATAGATACTCCAAAAAGTATTCAGCAGGTGCCTCTGCAACATAACAACAGTTCTTCTTTGATACAAGATGGAGGACACATACAAAGATAGGACTTCACTAGTGAAAGGGGCCAAAGATATTGCCAAAGAGGTGAAGAGGCAAGCAGTGAAAAAAGTGAATAAAGCTGTTGACAAAGCCCAGGATGGTTACACACAGAGGTCCTACAATCGATTCCAGGATGAGGAAGATGACGATGATTACTACGTTCAAGGAGGAAATTATGGGGTAGAAGCTAATGATGATGAAGGATCAAGTGAAGCAACTGAAGGACATGATGAAGATGACGAAATTTATGAAGGGGAGTATCAGGGAATCCCCAGCATGGGGCAGGGAAAGGACAACGTGGTGGCCTTAGGTCAACCTATGCGTGATGAATATAAGGATCGCCATGAACTGGAAACAGAGAGAAAAGCTGATGAAGAAGAGCTAGCACAGCAATATGAATTAATAATACAAGAATGTGGCCATGGTCGCTTCCAGTGGGCCCTCTTCTTTGTGTTGGGAATGGCCCTAATGGCTGATGGGGTTGAAGTTTTTGTAGTTGGATTTGTGTTGCCCAGTGCTGAAACAGATATGTGTATACCCAATTCTGGATCAGGGTGGCTTGGTAAGTAAAGTCTTTGCTCTGTCTTTTTGCTATTACAGGAACTGGTTACAGTAAACCTAAATATGTATTTGTCAACACCAATGCTTATATCAAAACATCTTTGTATTGAATATAAATAAGAAATCCACAAAGTGCAGTAACATTAATTAACATTAATTATGGATTCAAGATTATAATTTTATTTTTTAGACTTTTTTTCATTCAGTCAGTAGATCACTAAAGAGGAAGACTGCACAGTAAAACGTAAGAGGAGAAGGACAGAATTTTTTCTCATTTACAAGAGTAGGCATCCAGATGAACTAATTTTAAAAAAAAGAAATAAAAAAATCCCAAAACACAAAACCAGCCCAAGGTGGAGTATTGGAGTTCTGCTGGATTTATACAAGTGTAATGAAGAGCAGATGATACAACTGTCTAGCAATATTGTCGTACTGTATGGGAACTTTCCCCTTGTGAGGTGGAATGCAATCTGGAAAACATAGGAATTCCCTAGAAAATGCTGTATAGTATAGCCTTTCCCTCTTTTTGTCTTTAATCCTTTTATATCAATGAGTGTTCTCTAGCCATCCAAATTTTACATTGGCTCAGGGGGACAAATGACCGAAAATGAGCCTGGGGTATGCTTTTTGTGTTCATTCTCTTGATGGGGATGGGCTATGTCTCATCCTCTTGCCTATTCCCTCCTGTGGGGTGGCAAACAGGCAGGCTGAGCCAGCCTTGTGTGACTTGCTGAGAGCAGCACTGCTGCAAGCAGGTCTGTGCTTGCCCTTCCTGGGCATGACTGGGCACAACAGGTAAAACAAGGCTCTCATGGGGCAGGGCAGTGGAGAACAGGTGTAGAGATGGTTTCCAAGGAAGAGGGAAGGGCATGCTATTTTTAATATGATTTTTTTATTCATTCCTTGGCAGTTAAAGACAACTCATCAATTTTTATAATTTTTGCAACTTTTATGTTGCTGGAACAAAAATTATTGATATCAATTTCATTTTTTGATTACTGATAAAGCTGTTTGTTTTACCGTTTTCTCAACACCCTCTCAATAAATGGGATGATCAGATATATGGGATTGTCTTTATTCTCCAGGATGCTAACAGTGTAATGGTAGCCAATTAATTTGAATCACATTGTATTTTTTAAAATAGTGTTTCACTTAATCAGCTGCTGTAAGCATAATGGAGGTGTCTGGAATTAGGAGTGGGGAGTACTGTCACCACAGTAGCAGGGGCCATGGGAAGTCACATCCACCTGTTGCATTCTGCCCCACATCAAGAAGACTATTGAGAATATCCCTGTCACTAGACCCTTCATGATGCTGACTTGAGATATACTGGAATGACTCTGTCAGTGTTTAACTAAAATTCAATACAAAAGCTGTTAAATATCTCATAGTTATAAATATGTGTGTGTATGTGTATAAATGATGATTGTTTACAAAATATTACAGCTATGGAAAGCTTAGCTGTGCAAGCAGTGTATTTTCATGCCTGAAGTAAAGAAACTGTAGTGTATCTTACTTTTGTAGTAATATAATGATAGCCTCTGTGTTGAGGTATTAACAAACAAATAATTCTGTGCTAAAAGATTAACATACAAAAGCAGAAAAGAACAGAGATAAGCAATTTCTCTCCCAGTGTGTGTTGATGTGGTCATTATATCAATAATGTCACAAAAAAATATATTACTTGTCCATTGTTAATAGAAATATATCATTAACTGCAGTTCATCAGTACACTGGCATACATATTGCTTATAAACAGAGTAGATACACTGCTTGCAGACAGCATAACCTTAATTCCAGTGATAAAAAATAGTCATCGTGTCAGTGAATGCTTAGTGAAAGCATTTTTATATTGTCATAACTAGGCCCTCACAGCTGTGCATTTAAATTATTTTGCCGTTGTAATTTCACATCATAATTACATCCTAACTGGGGTCTTCCCGATATACATGAAGACCAGACATAATTTTTTTTCTTGATTATAATTCCATGATCCAGAGGGCTTAAAGTTGTTAGAATACTGAAGTCATAGGACCAGTGCTAGGATTCATTAGGTAGAATTGGTACACATACAAAATATTTATTTTTCAGGCAAATTTCTAATCTGTTAAGATACATACTAAGAAAATGTTAATCTGTCTTTATAAAAGCACTGATTGACTCCACTGTAAAAAATTATTTCTCCTATATCATGCCATGATAGTTTACTAGAGCTAATTAAAACCATGGGACAATATTCATTGAGCCTCCTTTTTTTTTTTTTTTTTTTAATTTGCTTGCACCGGGACAATTTCCCAGATTTCTTTCCTATTAACCCTTGTACAAGCTTGAGGCCTCTGTTGATCACTAGCAGCATTTTAGAGCCTATAAAGTCATATTATAATTGTGCTGATCAGAGTAATTCTGGTTGGCTTTTGAGTTAAATAGTAAAATAATAGGGTTTCCATCTCCAAGAAGCTGCTTCATTAAAAATAGGGAAGCTGACTTGCTTAAATTCTCCAAGATTATAGTCACGTGTCACTAAGCATGAGAGAAAGGTGCAGTTCAACCTGACTGTACTTGCCAGCTTGTGAGTGGATTCACATGCAACTCAGAAGTGGACTGATATTAGGTTAATTCTCTGGGCTCTGATTTGGGTATACTTTTCTACATAATTTTTTCTCTATGTTTTTGCTTAGAGAAGTTTTATTGTGTTTTTTTTTTTTTTTCTGTAAAATTCAAATTATGATCTCTACTTTCTTCAGCATCTCTGTATCTGAAATACTGAAATATTGTTTTCTCTAAGCTAGGTAAAGCTAGTTCTTCCCAGTATATCTGTTCTGGATACCATGCAACTTCTGACCATCCTCTCACTGGTTCTCTCCTGTGGGACCTGTGAGTGCTCACCCTCATACCTACGATCTTTGACAACTGCATTGCTGTCACCATTGCTAGCGGTATATACAGGCTGACTCCTGCTTGACTGACCCATGATGACACTTTCCATGGCACCAGTTGGCACATTTTTCTGACAGATACCTCCATCCCTTTTTCATACTTTGTCAGAATCCTAGAATCATGTAACAGTTTGAGGTGGAAGGAACCTTTTACAGGTCATCTAGTCCAACCTCCCTGCAATAAGCAGGGACATCTTCAACTACATCAAGTTGCTCAGAGGCCCATCCACGTCAGTACTGAGAAATATCAAGGTCTCAGGCTTAAGATATTATTTTTAAACTTTTTTTTTCTTTTTTGCATTCATACTAACAAAACCTAACAACTGATTAGCCACTCATATTTGCTGATTGCCATCCTTTCCAGAGGCCATTTGTTCCTCAATGATTTCTGATAATCTCCCTGGTCTATTTTGAATCCCTAGATGATCCTCTGAATGAAGTTTAGCCTAAATGATCTCTTGAGGGTGAATAGTCTTTTATTTTGTTCTATTTTACTTACCATTGTGTGCAGCAATGTGTTTGCCAAGACTTTGATACAGTTTCATAGACAGTCCAGCAACAAACACAGAAATAATCTTTATATGTTAAAAATATTCTTAGCTGATGATTCAGTCATACAGACACTTCCTTTCATCTAAAAAAACTCAAGTATTGTGGTAAATAACTGGACTGTTAATGCAGGTATTGTGAATATAAATAATAAGAAACAGCTTACTTTGGAAGTCAAATTATTTTCTGAAAACCCACAGTTAGTGTCAAATAATGTCTTGATGTAGGGTTTTTTCCTGATGTTATCTGGATGTAATAATTACATTTTGTGTAATATTTGTAGAAAGAAGAGTATCAAGAGGCATAACTAGGTCTTTTGGCACAAAGTAGTTTTCAGTCTGGGACAACAGCCTCCAATTCTGCAATTCTGCATTGGGTAGCTGATGCAACATGCTTATAAGCTCTGCTAAGAATACCAGATGGTCACTGATTTTTCCCCTCCTTAGTTTTAAAAAAGTACTGGCTTTCCAGATCCTTGCTACTTAATTTGATTCTGGTTTTGCACTGATCGCTTTCAACAACTTTATATTCAACCAATACCTTCTTAGAAACTTATCAATGAAAAATGCACTTAACTGCTGGGCAGCAAACAGCTCTACAGAAGAGGATCTAGGATTTTTAGTAGGAAGCAAGTTAACATGGGACAGCAGTGCCTGGAAGCTTCGTTATCATGGATGGCCAGTAGGAAGAGAGGAGTGATTATTTTCCATTCTTAACACAGTGAGCCCAGATGCTGGATTTTTTGTCCTGTTGTGGAGCCACCTGAAAATAAGAGATTGAAAAATTTGGGAAAATTCAGTAAAGGCCCAATAAGGTGATAAGAGGATTGGAATACATGGCATATGAGAAGAAGCAAAAGGACTGGGTCTTGTTTAGCTTGGAGGAAAGATGTCTAGGTGGGGAATCTATACTATTCATGAAATAATTGAGGGAAGCTGCAGAGAAGGTGTGCAAGCGGTCAGAATTTACAACCAGGGATCTGTTATAATGAAGGAAGTTCACATTGTGGTGGTCAACCACTGGGAGGTATTGCACAGAGAAGATGTGGAATATTCTGGAGATTTTCTAAAGAATGCCTGAAGCAATGTAATCTTGCTCTAAAGGTAACCCTGCTTTTAGAAGAGGTCAGACTAGAGTTCTCCAAATGTCCACCCAAGCCAAGCTTTTCTGATTTCATAAACTAAAAATAGCTGTCTGCAAATGTATAACACTTCCACCAACCTATAAATAAAACAGATGCTGCAGCTGTTATGCCTGAGTAAACCTGTAAAGGAAAAGAGTATTCTGAACTCATGGGTACACAGGCTTGCTGTTTCAAACACAGATTAGAGTCTAAATTCATTTAGGCAAGATCATATAGCTGGTCTCTTTAGTGTCTTCATAAATGACTTGAACGCAGGACTGGGAGGAATACTAAGCAAGTTTGCAGACAATACAAAACTGGGAGGAGCTGTTGACTCCCTCAGAAGCAGGTAGGCCCTGCAGAGAGGGGGCCTGGAAGTCTGGACTGGACAAT